GATCTATCCCGGTCTCCATCCATTGCACCCTCATCATCCATGGATCTATCCCGGCCACCTTTCTGACTTCCTATCCACTATACAGAGAGGAGGAGTCACTTACCTGTGGTGGGGGTCACAGGAGAGGGGGAGGTGTCAGGGCAGGTAAGTCCTCGGTGGTAACTCACTCGACCTTCGGCCTTCTCCGGAAATTGCTGAAGATGATTGGACAACATTGTAAAGACATCGAAGACGCCATGGGGAGAATGGCTCTGTGAATTGGTTATAAATAGACCCCCAAAAATGGACCTGAGCTCAAAGAGTAAAGATTATCTGTTACAGGTACATCTAGATATGTTATTTGTTCCTAAGCAGCACCCTAAAAAATGCCCTTTGTCTTAAATTCCTTATAAAATAGAGCAATGCACGTCCTGTACCTAGGCACCCCTGATATCAGTGCACGTCCTGTACCTAGGCACCCCTGATATCAGTGCTATCCATTGCACCCTCATCATCCATGGATCTATCCCGGTCTCCATCCATTGCACCCTCATCATCCATGGATCTATCCCGGCCACCTTTCTGACTTCCTATCCACTATACAGAGAGGAGGAGTCACTTACCTGTGGTGGGGGTCACAGGAGAGGGGGAGGTGTCAGGGCAGGTAAGTCCTCGGTGGTAACTCACTCGACCTTCGGCCTTCTCCGGAAATTGCTGAAGATGATTGGACAACATTGTAAAGACATCGAAGACGCCATGGGGAGAATGGCTCTGTGAATTGGTTATAAATAGACCCCCAAAAATGGACCTGAGCTCAAAGAGTAAAGATTATCTGTTACAGGTACATCTAGATATGTTATTTGTTCCTAAGCAGCACCCTAAAAAATGCCCTTTGTCTTAAATTCCTTATAAAATAGAGCAATGCACGTCCTGTACCTAGGCACCCCTGATATCAGTGCACGTCCTGTACCTAGGCACCCCTGATATCAGTGCACGTCCTGTACCTAGGCACCCCTGATATCAGTGCACGTCCTCTACCTAGGCACCCCTGATATCAGTGCACGTCCTGTACCTAGGCACTCCTGTTATCCCTGCACTTCCTGTACCTAGGCACTCCTGTTATCCCTGCACTTCCTGTACCTAGGCACTCCTGTTATCCCTGCACTTCCTGTACCAAGGCACTCCTGATATCCATGCACTTCCTGTACCAAGGTACTCCTGATATCCCTGCACTTCCTGTACCTAGGCACTCCTGATGTCAGTGTACTTCCAGTACCTAGGCACTCCTGATGTCATCTCCTGTTATCCCTGCACTTCCTGTACCTAGGCACTCCTGTTATCCCTGCACTTCCTGTACCAAGGCACTCCTGATATCCATGCACTTCCTGTACCAAGGTACTCCTGATATCCCTGCACTTCCTGTACCTAGGCACTCCTGATGTCAGTGTACTTCCAGTACCTAGGCACTCCTGATGTCAGTGCACTTCCTGTACCTAGGCACTCCTGATATCAGTGCACTTCCTGTGCCTAGGTACTCCTGATATCAGTGCACTTCCTGTGCCTAGGTACTCCTGATATCAGTGCACTTCCTGTGCCTAGGCACTCCTGATATCAGTGCACTTCCTGTGCCTAGGCACTCATGTTCTGCGTCCTCATAGCTGTATACCTGCAGTGTGAGATCATCTAAAGGCACTCCTGCCTCTGGCTGCCGGTCACCCGTGTTTTGGAGTGAGATTCAGTGACCTCGACCATTGTGCTGGTCTCATTGCTGGAGAGGAAGTTGTACCTGTGGACCGGCCATGCAAGGATCTCCCCGGCTCCGATTCCTCCACTTCTAAATGACTATTTATATTTTATTATTTCATGTTAATATTTGGAGTTAATGTTTTACCAATTATTACAGATATTCCTCTAACGCCGTGTCAATGTTTAACCTTCATCCTTCTAGAGCCGCTTCTTTACATTTTACCATTAGATCTTGTACAGGACCCCACTTGCCCCTCCCCCCCTTCCCCCCCCTCATATCGATTGTTCATTACATTTGTTTATTGCCATTTATCTTCATATAATTTTATCCATGAGGAAGGGGGTCACAGAGGGGTCATAGAACCCCTGGAGTGCGTTGGCTTGTCCTGTTGTTGCAATGGAATAAATGTATATAGACTCTTAATATTGGGGGTGGCGGTCTTTTTCTACTGTACCCCGTGGACCTGATCACAGATGCCCTCTAGAGGTCTCCTCAGGTAAGACATCCACCTAACCAGAGCCGCAGGATTCCACCCCACTGATCCATCCATCCCCCAGGATCTATCCAACGTTTGCATCCAGCACCCTATACCCTCGCCTACCATACTCCAGGGTGGAGGTAAGTACAGTACAAAGTGACACATCCTTGTTTTCCCGGGAGTCCTCGCAGTGTTGTATAGAGCTGCAACAACTAATTGATTAAAATTGGATAATGAGAATCGTTGGCAACTATTCTCATCATCGATTAGTTGCTGCCCCTCTTGCTCCTCCTCGCTGGCTGCAGCGGTCTGTGTCTCTTCCAACCCCCCAAGCCTGTGACGGCAGACACACTGCAGCCGGCAACCAGCGGGGGAGAACAGACTCTTCCCCCGCTAAACAACTCACACAATTTCATGCTCCTTCCTGTTCCAACATGACTGCGCACCAGTGCACAAAGCAAGGTCCATAAAGACATGGATGGGGAGGGGGGAGGAACGTGACTGGCCGCACAGAGTCCTGACCTCAACCCCATAGAACACCTTTGGGATGAATGAGAGCGGAGACTGCGAGCCCCTCCCCCAACATCAGTACCTGACCTCACAAATGGTCCAACATTCCCATAGACACGCCCCTAAACCTTGTGGACGCCTTCCCAGAAGAGGCGGAGCTGTTATAGCGGCAAAGGGCGGAGCCAACCCAATACTGAACCCTACGGACTAACGCTGGGGTGTCATTAGAGGGCGGAGCCAACCCAATACTGAACCCTCCGGACTAGGACTGGGGGGCCATTAGAGTTCATGTGCGTGTAAAGGCGTCCCAATGCTTCTGGTAATATAGCGAGATTATTATATACACATAATGTAGTCACTATCCTCCATTACCTGCAGCCCATACAGAGAGATTTGTTCCTTCATTCCATCCATATAATTCTCCATCCAGTCCGATCCTGCAGAGCACAAGAGTCCCTGTGACTGAACAGAACACAATCACCTTAATCCGGCCACTCGGTGTATATAATAATCCGGCCACTCGGTGTATATAATAATCCGGCCACTCGGTGTAGTCATTAATGGTCAGAATAGATCAATATGGATCCGTCAGGAGGGGGGATGGGACGGCGCGATGTTCTGTCGGCGTCTCAGTATACCGCGAGCTGTAGCTCCCTATATACTGAGCTTAGGGTGACGGGGGGACGCTAGTTTGTGTCCTCCCGTTACCCTGAGGAGAAGCCCGACCTCGTAGTTCTCCTTTAAGTTCTTCCATCAGCCTCCATGTTGGCCGGTCACAATGTGTCCCTTGGCTTGGAGGGGCCACATACGTCAATGACTCCATGAAGCTCTTTGGTGACTATTCGGTATCTGGGGGGCCCCGGGTGACACCTGTACTCAGCATGGGAAACACAACGACACGAGTTCACACAACCGGAGAGACGAGACCCCCGAGGATTCTTTTCAGATTTTATTACTTAAATAAAACTCACAAGTCCGGGTGATGAGTCGCACAGCGCGCCTCCGAACCTGAACTTACACTGTGCACATACAGCAGCGTCCTCTCCTGAGCAAGTGTACCTGTCATGTACACACAGAGGATGACATCATATGTACACAGCATGGCTGCCTCCAGTCATGTACACAGAGGATGACATCATACATACAGCATGGCTGCCTCCAGCCATGTACACAGAGGATGACATCATATATGTACACAGCATGGCTGCCTCCAGTCATGTACACAGAGGATGACATCATATATGTACACAGCATGGCTGCCTCCAGTCATGTACACAGAGGATGACATCATATGTACAGCATGGCTTCCTCCAGTCATGTACAGATGACAGGTACACTTGCAGCCTATAGGTTAGAGCAGCGGGTAGCCCAACTCTGATCCTCCAGCTGTGGGGTGAAACTAAAAATCCCATGATGCATCTCTCTCCGGGAGTCATGCCTGTGAGAATGTTGCAAAGCCTCATGGGATTTGTAGTTGCACCCCACAGCCGGAGGACCGGAGTTTGGCTACCGCCGGGTTAGAGTGTTTTCTCGGGGACAGCCGTGGTCACCCAGCGACATCTGCAATGAAGTGTGCGGATCTGGGAAGCCGCTGGAACAATCCCTTACACAGCAAAGTGTTTGCCGGACTAACAAAGAAACAAGAGAAGAAGAAGAAACATTTGCAGTGAGCCCGATGTGGTCCGTTCAGCATCAGCTACTTTGCTGGCTGCTGGATACTGATGGGGGGGGATGGGCAATGCCGAGTCCTATTAGTGCCACCTGCCCCCCAATCTATAGGGAACACCCGCGGCAGACGGGACCGACAATGGGACGGTTGTGTGCAGACTGGCAGGAAGTGAGTCACTGGACACGAGGAAACCAGAGCGACGTCCGTCACCGCCAGCCTGGGATAAGGAGCCCGTCCTCGGCTCGGGAATCCTGAATGAAAAGTATCCGGAGAGTTCGGGGAGTCGCAGAGTCTGTAATAAATAATGGAAG